CACTACCACCAATAAAAGTTCAGACCAAACCAAGACTTTATGAGGAGTGGAATTCTCTGAAACTAGTCTGGCTCACAGACACACTTCCAATGAAAGAATAGACCATTCCAAGCTTTTACTTGTTAAACAAATGTTTAAACAACTCTATTCAATTATGTACCAGCTGCCTAGTGTCAGATAACAATACAAAGAATTAAATTGTGGTGGAATGCTTCAAATACCTATAGAATGATAAGTTTCTTTTTTGTGAGTGTAAAACACTTAAATACACCATTTCGATAAGTAACAGCACTATTTCACTGAGAAAAGCCCAACATATGTAAAATAAAATCATATATGACTGTGTATTTTAGATATTACACAAAAACCTTTAAAAATGAGTTTCATACAATGAAATATTGATTTGAAAACATTAACAAGTTTTGTATTATATTACAATTTACATAGAGATGGAGGGAAGTCAATTTTTCTTTGCCCACACACAAACTCTGAAGTGTAGAATGCTCATTTGATTTATTAAGATATACAATTTCAAAAGTATCATGCCAAACTTCACACAGGTGTGAACACAGATGTTCGATGTAATATGACTGTCAATAGTCAAGAAAAACGCACACCATCAAGACTGTTTTGTAGAAATAATCCAATAAATAAATTTTTTTTATTAACATTTATTATTCAAAATGCATTTAAAAACAACAGAAAGTGTGTCCTAAATAAAATTACGACCTTTGAAAACCAACTGTTAATAATTACAAAACCTGTAAAGAAATAGTCCATATACTGTAACATCAAGATGATTTTTCTTAATTATGCAAAAAAAAAAAAGATAAAAATTGATGACTTCATTGTTAACATTTCTACTATTAAGATATTTTTAAATGCATGTGAAAGTCTATTCTAAATAACAAATATGATTTAATTCATACATTTACATCTTCTTGACATGGTTCGCTTTTTCTTGACGATTCATCGCGGTATTTAGTAAAACTAATACTAGTAGTAAATGTAGGATCCAAGTCGTGCAAGACTTAGTAAGAGTAAGATAGTGAAGTCTGATCGCGAATTTTACGCAAGTCGGCAATTACAAGCGTTAAACTTTTAACTAGTATTAGTAACCAGTAGAGTACAATCCTTAGTTTCATACTTTTCAACGTTTTAAAATTTTATTATTTAAAATTAAATACTGGCATTATTACATAATCAAAATAATAATTTAGTCCAGTTTATTATGTTATTCACTACCCTTACTCACGTTATTGGGCCTTGGCTTAGGCTTGTATAATCTAAGTTTAATAATTCCAACAAATTATTACCGAGTCTTATTGAATTATTATCAAGTTTAACGATCATCCAAAATACATGGCACCAACAGTGTATAATCTAACAAGAAATAAGCCTAATACTACAGTTAGCTCACCAAACATACTTAAAGTAAGCTAAACACTATGCAATAACACGTGAAACTCATCAGTCAATTTCACCGCCATCATTTAAACTACATTCATCTAACGATTAGATTAAAATTTTGAAATTATTAATTATAAGTTCACATATCGAATCATTTTGATATATTTATTAAGCAAAACCTATGTTTTAGATTTCTCTGTTCAATTTAATTTAGAATTACTGATTAGCAGTGTTGTAAAATGTAATTGCAAATAAATAAATGTGGTATGCTATCAAACAGTCATTAATAATGGTTATCAAGTAAAGTTTATGCTACAAGGTCATTTGAGAAAGCAATGCGGCTCTCAAACACGTTCTCGATTCTATGCTTAAATTAGTTGATGAGACTGAATTTTATTGTGTAGGTATGTTCAATGGTAAGTTTGAATACTTATAACAATAAAAATCTGGGTTCGATCGGGTGTGGTAGGACGGTCAACTTTTACAATATTTTTCCTGGCTCCATCGAAAAAACACGTTATTTTCTAAGCATACACTTATGCTTTGCATGTTTACAGTTTAACGCGCACGCAAATACATTTTCATTAAATTTAAACATCAAATACATGTATCAGGGTCCGAAATTGGCAAAATTTCTAACTGATCCTTATCAGGCTTAACCGGCCCACTCCTAGAACATTTATATATATATATATATATATATATATATATATTTGTGTGTGTTAATTCCATTTTATCAATTGCAGATGTGAAATCTTTAAAGAAGGACATAATTACAACTATATATGTCTAACATCAAACAAAACTGATGATGTCTTTGGATTTGAACAATCTGGAATACGATCTTGAAGAGTAAATAGTCTAAAAGAAGATCCGGTAAAAAGAAACAGTCCAGCATCCAAAGCAAGCCAAGCACACACACACATTTATTTCGTATTTTACTTTATGTCTAGCCACTTTATTTCCTTTTCACTAGTCATAGCTTCAGTATTATTCGTAATAAATGCACTGCATCCCCCTCC